CTTCAGGGGCCCCCAGAACAGTATCCTAGAATCACAGGGGAGGGCACGGGGTTGCAAGGACACGTCCGCTGGCCTCCTCCACGGAACTGCCCCCTCGGCCGTTTCCTTACCCGTCGCCGCCCAGCGCAGTAACAAAAGCTACTGTTTACCGGGCGCTGACCGTGTGCCAGGCCGTGCTCAGTGCCTTGCACGCCTCTCACTGTTCTGGCCGCACAACAGCCCTGGGAAGTAGCATTATACGTTATCACCCTTTGACGTTACAAATGAGGAGACCAAGGCCGGGAGAGGACCTAGTCACAAGAATGGTAAGAGGCAGGGCCGGGATTCAAACCCTGGTCTGTCAGCCATAGCAGGACAGCTTCGATGCGGCCTGTGTTCTTCACATCCTGAGGCATTGTCCTGGGTTCCTTGGCCTCTGCTGACAGAGATTCAGTCTGGAAGCGTTGGGAGCTGGGCTGGAGAAGCTGGGATGCGAGAGGAGAGGCGGACTCAGGGCGGCACAGGCCCAGCAGCCCACGTGGGCTTCTTTCCTCTCTGGTGGCCTGAGAGGCTGTCAGGAGCTGTTAGAGGATTAGAGAGAAATGGGTTGGCCTAGGACTCTAACCACCCTGGAGACGGCCAGGGATGGAGGGGTGGGTTGTCTCCAAGGTGGAGAGGCTCCCTCTGCTGGAAAATGTTGTCTGACCGGCGGCCCAGGCACTAACCCCTGCCCTAAGGAGCCTCCCCGCCCAGATCCACAGAATGCCAGCGAGCGGGGAGGAAGAGGGCCACAGAGGGATTGTTCTCCATCCCTGAGGAGGCCACGGTCACGCCTCCGCCCCCGCCTTGTAAAACTCAAGCTGGTTGGAAGTGAGAAGGAGAAGCTCAGAGAACCAGGGAGCCCGGGCTGTGGGCAGGGCCACGTGCAGCAGCAGAAGGACCCAGGCCTCAGAGTCCCACAGGCCTGAACTCCAAGCACCACTCAGCCACTTACCAGCTGGTGACCTTGGGCAAGTCGCTTAACCTTCATAGGCCCAGTTCTTCTCAACTGTAAGAGACGAAGGTTGTGAGGGTTAAATAGGATAATGACAATATTAAGGTCAGGTGTGGTGCTGAGCGCTGTATTATCTCGTCTGATCTGATTCTCACAATGGCCCTAGGTGACATGTTTTTATTATACCCACTCCACGTATGAGAGCCTTGAGGAGACTTGAGGCTCAGAAAGGTCCAAAAACTTGTCCAAGGTCACAAGCCAACTCCCAGGCTGAAGCGTGTAACCCCCATGCTGTTCCAAGCCTGTAGATAGAGTTTCTTTCCCTGCCTGTGTTGCCCAGCGCCAGGGCTGGCTTCATACACTTTGAATTTCAACAGTGGGTGGGGAGGAAAGAACTCTAGCTCCATCCTGAGGGCCTGGAAGCCTCAAACTCAGTTCCATAGTACTTCAACTCTTGGCAGCACTTTATGGTTCCCAGAGCCTTTTTACTCATATTAGCCAATGGATCTTTCCAATAACCCTGTTTGCCCCCCTTTGACAGATGAGAAGACAGAGGCAAGAGAAAGTGAAGTGCCTTATTCAGGATCACATAGGCAGGAAATGGCAAAGTTAACCTTGAACCCATTCTGGTCCGCCACGGTTGCCTTCAGAACCCTCTGGGAGAAATCACACTGTCTAATCTTATTAGACGTTGTCACCTCAGAGTGTGTGTGTGTGTGTGTGTGTGTGTGTGTGTGTGTTCCCCTACTCAAAGAACAGATTTTTTTAAATTAATTAATTAATTGATTTTTAATAGAGGTATAGCTCATTATAATATTATATTTCAGTTTCAGTTGTGCAACATAGTAAATCACAATTTTAAAGGTTGTATTCCATTAAAAGTTATTACAAAGTATTGGCTATATTCCCTGTGTCGTACAATATATCCTTGTAGCTTATTTATTTTGTACATAGTAGCTTATTTTATACATAGTAGTTAATCCCCTGTCCCTATCTTGTCCCTCCCCCCTTCCCTCTCCCCACTGGTAACCACTAGTTTGTTCTCTTTTATCTGTGTGTCTGTTTCTTTTTGTTATATTCACTAGTTTGTTTTATTTTTTAAGATTCCACAAATAAGTGACATCAGACAGTATCTACCTTTCTCTGTCTGACTTATTTCACTCAGCATAAAATGCTCAAAGTTCATGCACATTGCTGCATATGGCAAATTTTCATTCTTTTTATGGCTGAGTAGTATTCCTTTGTGTATATACAGATATATACATATATGTGTATATATTATGTATATATGTGTCATATCTTCTTTATCCATTCATCTTTTGATGGACACAGCAGATTTGTTTTTAAGTTTTTCAAAATTTGGTAATACATGACTAAAAAGTTGAAACATTCTGTGTGGAAGAATTCCAAATAATTGATGTAGATATTTCACCCCCTGAGGAGATGGAATATAATTCCCCACTCCTTAAATGTGGGCTTCATAGAATGACTGCCTTCTGAAGAGTATAACATAGAAAGGGGGGAAAAGGGTAACATGGCAGTGGAGAAACCTGACAAACACTACCTCAGCCAGGTGATCAAGTCATGTTCATAGTATGTACCCTGGATATCATGGGAAGAGAATGGCACATCGCCTCTGTGGTCTTCCTCCCAAAAACCCATAACCCCAGTCTAATCATGAGTAAACATCAGACAAATTCCAACTGAGGGACAGTCTACAAAATATCTGACCAACACTCCCCGAAACTGTCAGGGTCATTAGAAACAAGGAAAATCTGAGAAACTGTCACAGTCAAGAGAAATCTATGGAAACATGATGACTAAATGTAATGTGTTATCCTGGAAGGAATTCTAGACAGAAAAAGGACATTAGGGAAAAGCTAAGGAAACCTGAATTAAGAATGGATTTTATTAATAGTAATGTATTAATATTGGTTCATTAATTGTAAGAAGTGTACTACACTCATGTTAATGAAAGAGGACACTGGCTGTGGGGTATATGGGAATTCTCTGCACATCTTCACAACTTTTCTGTAAATCTAAAACTGTTAATTTTTTAAAAAGGTCTAAAATTTCAAAAAGATACTCAGTGAAAAAGTCTCCCTTCCACCCTTGATCAGCTGCTCAGTCTTCTTCCCCTCCCCCCCCCAAAACACTGTATTTCTTTCCAGGAAGGTTCCAGTGAGGCAGCATGGTTTGTTGTTAAAAGTCTGGCCTCCACAACTGAATGGCCAGCTGTCAGTCATGATCTCTGCCAGTTTCTAGCTGTGTGACCCTGGACAATTCCTTACCCTCTCTGTGCCCTATGTCCTCAAAGATAAAATCCTCATAGGATTACTGGGAGTGTTAAATGTATTAATGTATACAGTAAGCACATTGGAAGTGGTTGCTTTTATTATTACAAATAAACAAGCCACAAATGTGTTCAGAAAAATATCCAAAACTTATAAGTAAGGCACAGAAAAAAATTACTAAATGCCCTTTCTGAAGTATTTTAGATCATTGGCTAATAACCCCACCTATGGGTCATCTAGGGGAAGTAACTTTGTTTGATTTACTATTTACTATTGATTAATGCCTTGACTCTATAAAGTTAAGAGGTTAATCTGTAGAAGATTGATAGCAAATTGTTTTTGTCTGATAGGAAAAAAAAACAATTATGATTTTATTGTCAGGTAGGAATTAATCTTTGTGTATCTAACTTTGCAGTCTTATTCGAGCATTCTTTTTTCCCCTGAATGTCAATAATAGGCCTTCATTTCTTCCTCTGATCCATCCTACTGGGTTACTCATTAAGCAGCTAAATGAATCTTGATACTCACTACATATTTATATCAGTCAAGTTCATCTTGGTGCAAATTTCACTTTGACAAATAGTAGCATGCCATACAGACTCTTCCACACCTTTGTTTTTTTCACTTAATATATTTTGAACTTGGTTTCATATCAGAACATAAAAAGCTTCCTTACTCTCATTTTGCCTCTGTATAGAATACATCATATGGGTGTGCAATATTTACACTCAAAATCAATTTAGCCAATCCCCTATTGATGGACACTTAGGTTGTTTCCACTCTTTTACTGCTGCAGTCAATGCTGTATGAATAACCTTGTACACAGGTTGAGAATAGAGTCACTTAGACAGAGGTGGATGGGAAGGTAGAAGAGGCTCTAGAGGACAAAGGAGCCTAAGGGAGGGGCCTGATTACCTGCTCCCAGCCCAGCCTAGCCCATCTTCCCCTGGCTCTGTGCCAATCCAGCCTCCTCCTGCCTCCTCCTCTCCATCCTGAGCTCCTGGTATCTCCAGAGAGGAAGGGCCAGCCTTCGATTCCCTGAAGACCTGGGCTCTGGCTTCCACTGCATGAAAGATGAGGGGGCCTTGGAGAGGAGGATCTTGGGGGGTTGGGGCCTGGGGCTGGTACTATCCCTGGGCTGGAGCCACTGAGGGCACATGCTCAACACACCCTGAGGGCCCTGGTAGGGGACAAAGACCCGAGGCCCAGGGATTTCCTGCGGGGGTTGGGGTACTGGGGGAGGGGGTGGGGCAGTGCCTAGCAGCTCTGGCACAGACTTGCTTCGGATGCCCAGTGCAGGTGGCTGGTCAGGGCACAGGGTGTGACAGGCAGTAGTGAGGAAGGGACTGGCTAGGCTGGTTGTGACGGTCACAAGGTGGTCCAGCACACCCCCCTCCTGAGGAGACTGGACAAAGGGGAGGCTCAAGGTGGCCTGCAGTCGTTCAAGGAGAGATGGGGGGGCCTGAGCTTGGGCCTGGGCCACAAGCCCGGGCAAGGCAGGCCACTCAGGCTGATAATGCTGGCTGAGCTGCTCCACTTGGGGCCGCCGCAGCAGCTGCCGGATCCTTTGCACTGTGTCAAAGCTGTCAGTCAGAAATGCCCACTCCAACGCAGTCTTGCCCCGGACAGGATCCACCGCGGTCAGGTCAGCACCTGGATAGGGGGGCCACAGGGGTGACATGGGATGGGACAGGGAATGGTGACTTGCAGAAAGGCAGATTCTTTAGCAGAAGGACTAATTTAGGTTAGATTCAAAACCACAGAGTCCCATCCTGTTGCAGCTGGAATCTAGGAGCCCTCAGTGACTGCAGCCCAGGGACAGTACCAGTCCCAGACCCCAACCTCTGGTTTACGATTTATGAGGAAATTGGAGTCCAGAGAGGGAAAAAGACTTCAGAGAGGCCGACTGTAGGTCTCCAAATCTGGAGCAGAATAGAAGCCTCCTGAACCAAGGAACTGACCAGAGGGGCTGTGTGTGAGTTACCCAGGATGGGGTTGGGGGTGGCTTGAGCTGCACCCTCTGGGGCAGGTGGAGGGGGGCCCTGCTGGTTCCCACTCATGGTTTTTCTCTTCATCACCATAGCCCCCTAATCCTGGTAGGGGTGGGGGTGGCAGTCACTCTGAGACAAAAGAGGGGGTGTGGAGCTTCCTCTCTTTTCACCCCAAACCCAGTCTGATGGGATGGGAAATGGAAAAGCTGGAGGCTGGGGTCCTCTAGAGTGACCATCACAGGGCAGCACCCTCTCAGGGAGTAATGAGGGCCCTAGATGCTACAGGCAGTGTGGACTTCACCCAGAACAACTCCGTATGGCCACACGTCTCAACTACACATCACTGCATCCCTGGCACTCTAGCTTGTCTGAGTTGGAAAGCAGCCCAGAGAAGGCCATGACCCTCACTACACTGGTGAGGCCCAGAGAAGGAAACCGTTTGCACAGGGTCACTGAGCTGGTGGCAGAGCCAGGACAAGAACCTAAGAGTTTGGTTCCAGATACAAGCCTTTTTTGTATTAGTTTCTCAGCTGGTCTAGGTTATCCATCCTCCCGAGCTTTCTTTTCTGGGACCATCATTCACAATGTACATAGAGCTATCAACTTTGTTGCTTGTGAGAAGCCCCAGCACCCTTCCCTCCTCCAGATCAGCCTAGATTAATGCTCCGTCTCCACCGCTCTCCTCACTGCAACTATGATAGTTGACTTAGTGTCTGGTGGAGGGGCATGGTGGAGGAACTGCAGGCCACGCATCCTAGTCCAGGCCCGAAGCACCTGCCATGAGGAGGGCAGCCACGCATTCCGAGCGGTCCCGCATGGCAGCCTTCATCAGCGCCGTTAGTCCCCGCTGGTCCCGGCGCTCCAGGTCCAGGCCTGCGTAGTAGTTGATCAGAAGACTCACCAGAGGCACATGGCCTGCAAGGCACGAAAGGCAGGGCTTGGTTACTCAGGAAAGGGATGATGAAGCCCCAAACCCACCCTCCACCCAACATGGCTGTGTCTGGGGTAGGAGAATGTGGGTGCAAGGAGTGTGGGGCTGCGGCTGGGTCTGGAGGAGGGTAAAGGCAGAGGGTGGGGTCAGCAGCCTCGCACCTGCTTGGGCAGCCAGCATGAGGGCTGTGTCCCCTTCTTTGTCCTGCTGGTTCACATCCAGGAAAGGACAGCGGCTGAGTAGGGCCACCACACTCTGGAAGCCTTGGTAGCACGCGACCATGAGGCCTGTCTGGAGGAGGGGCAGCTCAGCCCCTGTGTTTTCCTCCAGGAGCTCCATGGGGGCCATGTGCCCTCTAAACCCACATCTGTCCCAGAGATGCCCCAGCCCCTGTGAAACCCCAACCCCACCCTCTCCCTTTCTTTTGAGGACTCAGGTAGTGGGTGTCGACCTGAAACTCTCAGGAGGAGTGTGGTGTGGTGAGGACACAGAGGTGGCCCTGCTGCCCCAAGAAGCGCCCAGGGTAGCTCACCCTCCCATTGCCGTCCACCTGGGAGGCCTCCTCTGGGGAGACTCCATCGTCCAGCATGGCTTGGAGCTGGGCAGGGTCATTGCGGACACAGGCCCAGTACAGGGCCCCCAGCATGCAGCCTGGGGCAGAGGTCTCACTGTCAGGGTAGGACAAAGCCTCAGATGTGTCCAGGCCTCCCTTCTGCAATGGCAGCTCCTCCTCTTCCATCCTGGGGACGAGAAGTTGGCATCTATAACACAGAATGAGGGCAACACTGTCTCTCTGGATCCCAAGACAAGTTCCAGCCCCTGCATATCGCCCACCTTGCCCTGGGGAGAGCCTCCTTCCGCCAGGGTGTCCTGTCCTATCCACCTGGGAGAGAGGACAAGGCCCAGGCAAGGAGGCTGAATGACAAGAGCCCTAAGAAGACAGAAGTCATTCACTGTAAGTGAGGAACCTAGTGAGGTCCAAGGAGACAGGGAAGGGTCTTCTCTTTCCCAGGGGACCTTACCCAGGGTTGGGAGGATCCCTAGGAAGTGGTCATTGCTGGGGCCCAGCCTGGAGCCCACAGGATCCCCCAGACTCCTGGCAGCACACTCACCAGGTCTCTGGAGCGTCTCGAGGGGGACTATCTCGTCCCAAGAAGCAACGCAGGTAACAGATGGCTGCCTCAAACACCTCGGGGCTGAGCTGGATCAAGCCGGGTCAGTTGGGGATGGGGGGCCGGGCGGGGTAAGTGCTCTCAGAGCGGAGCCAACCAAGACCCGCCCCAGATCCTGCCCAGAGTGGGCGGGGCCCGAGTCAGGGCGGCTCCTCCCCCGCGGAGGCAACTCAAAGAGAAAGACCCTCCGCCCCACCCACACACTCACCTTCCGCCTTCTGGACACACCGACTTCCCCAGAAACCGGCCCTTCGAAGTAGGAGGGGTTCCAAGGTCTCCGAACTTAGCCCTTCCTCCTCTGTTGGAGTGGGGCTTGGTGAGGGGGTGGTGGTGGGAGAGGGTGCGAGGGGAGACATCTCACTAAACAGGGGCTGGGACTGGGGAGTGGGAATTCCAGGGGTCTCCTGGACCTATTTTTTTTGAGGTTTCAGGGAAATTAAAACATAAAGAACTACTTTAATTAGGGGTAAAAACGTTATATTAAGTTTAATGGATTAGTTTTGGTGTGATAAATTAGATGTGAAATACTAAAATTGTATCAATATTAAAATTTGATTATTTAAATTAAACCATGTATTTATACTTGTTAAATTAATAATAAATTCTTACATTAATAATAAACTATTAAATTAATATTAAATATTAAATTTAGTGAATTGGTTTTGGACTTTTGGTGTGGAGCCAAAATGGAGCCCATCATATTCTTCTGTTTATATCACGATGTGTCTCTTGTTTTCTTTTACTTTATTGGTTTATCTCATTCATCCCTGATCCCCACAGCCCATGCTTCTCCTTTGCTTTACCAGTTGACATATATATCCTTGAAAAAATACATTACAGTGAAAAAAGGTAGTGATTTGTGTTATGTTTTGACTAACACCTTAGATTGTGCTACAGAGCTCATTATGTTTGTTCTTTTCACTCAGGGCTGCTTTGGGCATCCGTCCTTGTTGCTTTCCGTGCAGTGTATCAGTCAGGAGTGCCTTCGGTTGTGAGCTGGAGAGCTGAACTAGCACCTCCCAGAGTCTTGTGAGCTAGGAATCTGTGATTTAGGTTCTGCTTTTATGTGAGGCATAAATTTGGAATACAGCTAAGTAGCATAGAACATCCGTTTTGCTGTCACAGATTGTGACAGATGCAGGGGGGTTCTGGTGAGCAGCTTCCTGAATCATCAGCTTCCTGAAGTACTGACTGTTGTTTTCCTGATCACAAGCAGGGGTCATGTGCCTCTCCAAGTGGGGAGTTGTTCCTGCACCTAGAGCCTGCTTGTCCATTTAAACTAGCCAGATTTATTTCTGTTCTCTGCAGTTGGACCCTAACTAACACGTGGGTTAAACAAATAGAGATTTATTCTTTGTACATGATAAAAAGTTCAATTCCCCCTAAAATTCATATATTGAAGCCTTAACCCCCATTGTGACTATATTTGGAGATAGGGGTGTTATGGAGCTACTTAAGATAAGTGAGGCCATAGGGCGGGGCAGTAATCTGATAGGACTGCTGTCTTTCTAAGAAAAGGGAGACACCAGAGCACGAGCGCTCTCTTTTTCTCTCCTCTCTCCTCATTGCCCAGCCCCCACCCCACCCCGATGTGCCTACGTGAGCACAGTGGAAAGACCATGGGAGGATATAGTGAGAAGACGACCATCTGCTGTCCAAGCAGAGAGCTCTCACCAGAAACCAACCCTGCTGGCACCTCTATCTTGGACTTCCAGCCTCCAGAACTGTGAGAAAATAAATTCCTATGGTTTAAGGCTCCTAATCTGTGGTATTTGTTACGGCACCTCAAGCAGACTAACCCAAGATCCAACCTTTTCTCCAACTAGTGAAATCACCCCATCTATTAAACAGTTCTCTTTCCCCTGATTTGTAGCATCATCTTTATCATATACAAACTTTGCGTTCTCTTTAATGTTGTGCTCGAGTTCTCTTATTATTTCATAAAGTTTTCCTTTATGTCCTTCAATAGTGTTAATTTTTTTTTCTCCAGCTTAGGTTGATTCCTAGCTTCTTTATAGCTTTCTTGCTATTGTAACTAAAATCTCATGTTTTTGTTTTTGTTTTGCTTATTGCTGATGTAGCTGCGGTTTTTTTTCTCTTTGTCTTTCTTGGACTTCGTATATGCTGAATCAGATTAATCACAGTTCGTGATATAGTCTCATTACTGGTCGCTGTATAGTCTGCTTTTGTTTAGTTTATTAGTTAATTACTTTTAATAAGGCAATAAGCACCCAGAATACCTCCTCTACACAAAAGCTAGAACTTCACAATACACTCCATCATTCCCCCAATATATCCCCTGCCTCTCCCCACCCAAGGCAGCTGTAATCCTGAATTTGATGTCCATTATCTTGTTGCTTTCCTTTACATACCGTTTTATTGCACCTTTAGGTATTCCTTCAAAGTGTATATATTATCTATATTACACATATATATCCTGGTTGTTTTATTTAAAAGAATATAAATGCCATTTGTAGTCTTTGGCTGTCTACTTTTTATCACTGAATAACGTATTGCTAAGATTCCTTCATACTGTTGTGTGGTGACAGTTGCTATGTGGCACTCCATTGTGTGACTACACCACGGTTATCATGCTGCTTCACTGATGGATATTTGAGGTGTTTCTATGTTTCTGCTACTACAAATTGTGCTGCTGTGAATATTCTTTTTTTTTTTAACATTTTTTATTGATTTATAATCATTTTACAATGTTGTGTCAAATTCCAGTGTTCAGCACAATTTTTCAGTCATTCATGGACATATACACACTCATTGTCACATTTTTTTCTCTGTGAGTTATCATAACATTTTGTGTATAGAATATTCTTTTTTTTTAATGAGAAATTTCCATTTTGATATAAAAGCGGTCCTGTGCTTGATAATGTCAGTTGGGGAATCACACAGAACAGACTGGATACTAGCATTTAGTAAAATCCAGTTTAAAATTATAGAGCACTTTAAGTATAAAAATAAGACTTTTAATTAAAAAAGAGTATATATTGTAAACCGACTATAACTGAATTAAAAAAAAAAGAGTATATAGCCCTGGATACATCTACAAAACAATTGAAAAGTGTAACGCAAGGCTACATCCTGTTATGGGGTCCATAAGCCACGGGGCTCCCGAACTTCACAGGGAGTTTGATACTGAATATTTTGAGAACTTTTAAATAATGCAGTTGATCTCCTTCTCAGACAAGACACATTTGAAAGGAGTATTAGTGAGTCTTAACATTCGGAGGCTCTTCTGAAGTGATGGAGTCCTCCTGCCTCTGACGCAGAGGACAGTGGGATTGCCTGAAGGAGAGGACACAGCAGGATGCTATTTGAACAGGTGGGCATCTACCTCCATCCATGAGAGATTTACATTCACTGCGCATGGGGGTTTGAAACCACAGTTGGAATCTTCCTTTTTCAGCCGGCATCTTCTAATGATTCTGAGTATAGTTAAAATGTCCACTTTCCTCCGAAGTGGGCAAGGCTGTGCCGAGCTCCTTCCGCCATTTGGAAGAATCCCCACCCTTGGTCTATCCTGGCCACCACCTGGCCTCCTGGGAAGCGGCCCCCTGGCTGAGAATCCAGTGACTCCAACTCCTCCCTGCTCCAGGACATCGGGGTGCCTGCCTTCACCTGGGGGCAGCCCCCTTCCTGCGCAGCTGCTCCTAATCTCCTGCTCCCAGGAACCTGCAGCTTCTCTGGCTTCCACTGTCGCCACCATGCCGCCCAGGGTGAGGGTGTCCAGACCCGAGTCCACCCGGCCTCTGATCGAACACTCTTGCTTGATTGTATATGCAAGACTGTTCTTTGAGTGCATACCTAGGAATGGAATTGCTGAGTCAAAAATCATTTAATTATGCAATTTTAGGAGTTCTTTTTGAAATCCAGGTAACTTTTATTTAAATTGAAAACAATGCTTGAAACTGCATTTAGAGTCAAAGCCCTTTTGCTTAGAAAAATCATTAAGAAGTATTTCTAGATAAGGCAGAAGTATTTCTAGTTTAACAAGACCAGATTTGACCTTGGACTTTATCCTTTAGACAAATTGTAGAGAATGGAGGAAAAAAAGTGAATTTACAGAAAACAGCAAAACAGTTTTCCAAATTGTTTGTACCATTTATACCCAAACCCAGTAACGTAAAAGAGATCCTGTGAATCTGTATCTTCTTCCCCATTTGTATTGTCAGACTTTTTAATTTTGCCAATCAGAAGGATATAAAGTGGTAACTCATCATGGTCTTGATTTACATTTCCCTCGTAACTAATATTGTTGGATATCTCTTCATGCGTTTGTGGACATATGTAATAGAGCCCTCTTGAGTTCTAGCTGGGCACAGACTACCCAGCTAGAGAGTACGTTTTCCAACCATCCTTTTTTTTTTTCTTTTCCATTTTTAAAATTGAAGTATAGTCCATTTACAATGTTGTGTCAGTTTCTGGTGTACAGCATAATGTTTCAGTCATACATATACATACATATATTCATTTTCATATTCTTTTTTGTTATAGGTTACTACAAGATATTGGATATAGTTCCCTGTGCTATACAGTATAAAATTTCTGTTTATCTATTTTATATATAGCTGTTAGTATCTGCAAATCTCAAACTCCCAATTTATCCCCTTCTACCCCCTTTCCCCCATACATTTGTTTTCTATGTCTATGAGTCTGTTTCTATTTTTGTAAATGAGTCTATTTGTGTCTTTTTAAAAAATGTTCCACAAATGAATGATATCATATGGTATTTTTCTTTCTCTTTCTGTCTTACTTCACTTAGAAGTACATCCATGTTGCTGCAAATGGCATTATTTTAGTCTTTTTTATGGCCGAGTAGTATTCCATTGTATAAATACACAACTTGTTTATCCAGTCATCTGCTGAAGGGTAT